GTGAGTAGAAAATTACACTACGAGTCAAGAACATACAACCCAGAAATAGTACCTCAGGTTAAGAACTTAGCTTCAGGATGAGAACAGAAATCATGCGGGGGCAGCAGTGGGAGGCCCCATTGGCTAAAGTGGTGCTTCAGGTTAAGAACAGTTTCAGGTTAAGAACGGACCTCCAGAGTAAATTAAGTACATAACCAGAGGTACCACTGTAGCTGTAATCTTGTTTTTTTTCTAATGCAACTGATTTCTGTTTCTGTGAGCAAAATTCTCTGACATGGGGGTGTAATGTTTGTCAACATTAGCCTTGAGTCAAGTCCATTGTTCATCCTGCTCTCCATTTAGACTTGAGGCAGGCAAATTTATTTTATTTATTTTCCTACACTTAACCTCCCACCGTTCACAGGAATGCAGAAAGCTGCATAACGCTGACTCAGACCTTCGGTCCATCTAGCCCAGTATTGTCAGCACAGGCTGGCAGAAGCTCTCCAGCTTTTCAGGCAGGGCCAGGATTAGCAATACTTAACACTGGCAAAGTACAATATGAGAGAAGAATCCCAGAATCCTTTGCAACGTTTCAAGGACTTGCTGTTTTTCAAAGCCTTGGAATTGTCAATAGATTTGGGGCGGGGGGAATGGGGGAGTGGAGAACAAGATGATCTGGTGGAATAAATGGGAACCAAAGCTACCTTCACACACACACACCCCGGCTTGTAGGAAGCTTCAAAAACAAGCCTGCTAAATCACAACGGGTGCTGCAAAAGGAAGGCTCTCAAGAAGCCTGCAATATCCATTCATAAAAATAAAAAAATAAGCTGGTTAGCAGCATCTCCAGAGCTGGGAATGGTCCAGAAATAGTCAACAGAGAGAAAGAGTAAGGCGTGGGAGGGAAAGAGGAAAAACAGATTATAGGGACCGGAGGAGGGTGGGAGACTTGCTTGAATCATGTCCTTGAGATGGAGAAGGGCTATCGATAGCTATTGGGCACAATGGCTGTGCTCTGCCTCCATCACTGAAGGCAGCAGCGCTTCTGAATATCAGTTGTTGGAAACCACAGGAAGAGAGAGGGCTCTTGGCTCCTGCTTGCAGATTTCCCATTGGGGTATCTGGTTGGTCACTGGAAGAACAGGATGCTGGACCTTTGGCCTGATCCAGCTGCCTCTATGTTCTTAGGAGTGTGGCTGAAGTGGCCCTGCCTATGTCTCACCTGGAACACTTCCTGCAATCAAATCCATACATAAATAATCCTCCTACACAGAAAACCAGCATATTATGTGGTGGCGGCGGCGCTGGGAGTCTAGCCTTGCGATGCTAGCTGTTGAAAAGCTTAATTTCATCCAGTCACATGAGTTCCCACACAACTGTAATCTGAAGTACAATTACAGGTGAAGTACGATTAGGATTATTGGCTGAAGCTGGAAGCTGGGGAAATAGAGGCATGCCCTGCTCTGTGCTGAATCCAAAGCAGGAGGGGAATGAGGGGGTGTTTCCTAACAACTCTCAGTACCCTGAACAAACTACACTTCCTAGGATTCTTGGGTGGAAGCCGTAACTGTTAAAGTGGCATGATATACGTAGCTTTAAATGTATAGGCTGGGAAGGACTCTTGCCTGATAGCCTGGAGAGCTGCTGCCAGTCAGTGTCAACAATACTGGGCTAGATGGGTCAGTAGTCTGGCTAGGGAAAAGGCAGTATTATATATTCAGCGGTCTGTGTTTGCCTGAGCTTGAGTCTGGACTAAGGATTCTGAGCGCCTGTGTTCTGATTCGATACATGATGTCCAATCACAGAACATTTCAGGATTTGGGCCTCTGCCATCAGTCCTTGAAGTTTAGACAGCCAATCACGTTGGGAGTGGCCCAGGCTTTCAGAAATGTATACAGTGGTACCTAGGATTAAGCGCTTAATTCGTTCCGGAGGTTCATTCTTAACCTGAAACTGTTCTTAACCTGAATCCCCACTTTAGCCAATGGGGCCTCCTGCTGCTGCCGCGTCGCCAGAGCACGATTTCTGTTCTCATCCTGAAGCAAAGTTCTTAACCCGAGGTACTATTTCTGGGTTAGCGGAGTCTGTAACCTGAAGTGTATGTAACCTGAAGCGTATGTAACCCGAGGTACCACTGTATAAGCAGTTGCTTTGCCCCTGTTTCCCAGTCATGTAGTTCAATACAGTGGTGCCTCGCAAGACGAAATTAATCCGTTCCGCGAGTCTCTTCGTCTTGCAGTTTTTACGTCTTGCGAAGCACGGCTATTAGCGGCTTAGCGGCTTAGCGGCTATTAACGGCTTAGCGGCTTTAAGAAAAAGGAAACGAACTCGCAAGAACTCGCAAGACGTTTCGTCTTGCGAAGCAAGCCCATAGGGAAATTCGTCTTGCGGAACGACTCAAAAAACGGAAAACCCTTTCGTCTAGCGAGTTTTTCGTCTTGCGAGGCATTCGTCTTGCAGGGCACCACTGTAAAAGGTTCTTGCTGTTATCAGTGCGTCTTGCATCGTGGGAACCCACCTACACTTCAGGCAGCTTCCTTTGTCCCCATGTAGTACAAAGCAAGTTCTTACTCCCAGTAAGATGTTATGGGTGCCATTAATGGGTGGAAGAGTGGGAAATGAGATGGATCTGACCCCCAGGGACACAATCCACCTTCAGAAAGTTCTCCCAAACAAGCCCCTCTGAAATGAACAGAAGTTGTGCAAAACTATTGATGTGCAATGTATGTAAGCCGCAGAAAAGAAAAAGACCTGGGGTGATTCCTCCTGACCCCAAGGCTCAAGCAGCCCCTTGGAAATGTAGTTTTGGAGAAACATAGAACAAAGTTATTTTCAGTCCCAATGCAATAAAAGGCAGTGGACGGCTTTGCCAATCAGACCTGATTTCTAAACGTAAATAAAACTTGGCTTCACTGTGTAAGAGTGATTTTTATATTCTGCTTTGCAAATTCAACTGGCACCTGCAAGATGCTAGATCTCTGCTATCCAGCAGCTGAGGTTTAGCAAAGTGTATTTTCATGAGAAGCCGTTTTAACTTATCATGCTCAGGTCTTGCAGAGCTTACATTGTCGGGGAAACCCTGCAGTGAAGGCAAAAGTTACCAGAAGTGATGAAGTTCTCATTATAACCAGAGAGAAGGAAATGAGGACCCCTCTTAAAGAGAGAGAGAAAAGGTGTCTCCCACTCAGAGCTGGGAGAGAGCTGGCTGTTCATGTTATTTGGCCAAAAGCTACTCCTAGTTAATCTCCCTCCAGGTTACTTTTGTGGTCTCTGTGTGAGCAAATCTAAGATTAAATTGGTGACTTTTTATTGTGGACTTTGAAACCATAACATGCTGGGTTACGGCATGGCTGTGCTAGCGGGGGCTGATGTGAGTTGTAGTCCAAAACATCTGGAGGGCACCAGGTGGGTGAACACTGCTATATACTTTTATGTATAGCAAGGTAATAGTTTTCCACATTTCATTTCCCTCCAACAAATTTGCAATCCCTGGTTCCCCTCCAAAAAAGATGTGTCTTTATACCTATAGCTCAGGACAACACTTCATGCATGATGAAGTAGTCTGTGAAAGCTCATGCCGTAATTAATATGTTACTTTTTAAGATGACACAAGATCTCGCCCGTGTCATGACTTCATCTCTCGGGGTTATCCAGTTGTGACATCTTGCTTGGTCAAAGAGGAGTTCCCCTTCTCTCCCCTCAGCAGCTTCCTAGCCCCCTCCCCCAAATCTGGTCCACAGGGTAGGGGAACTCTGGAGCAGATTTGGGTGGGTGGGCGCTGAAGAGGAGAAGAGAGGAAGGGGAGACCCCGTAACATCCCAGGGTGTGATGTTGGATCTTGTCCACCACTTCAATACCTTCATTTCTAATGTTAAAATAATGCTTCAGGGCTACCTCACAGTGTTGTCACAGGGATTACTGATATCATGGATGTGAAGCTCTTTGTATGAATGCTCTAAGGCACTGATTTAACATAAGAAGAAGGCTACTGGATCAGGGCAGTGGCCCATCTCGTTCAGCATCTCATTCTCAAAGTGGTAAGGTAAAGTAAGGTAAAGGACCCCTGGACGGTTAAGTCCAGTCAAAGGCGACTTTGGGGTTGCAGCGCTCATCTCGCTTTCAGTCCGAGGGAGCTGGCATTCAGCCACAGACAGCTTTTCCGGGTCATGTGGCCAGCATGACTAAACAGCTTCTGGCGCAACAGAACACCATGACGGAAACCAGAGTGCACAGAAACGTCATTTACCTTCCTGCTGCAGCGGTACCTATTTATCTACTTGCACTGGTGTGCTTTTGAACTGCTAGGTTGGCAACAATGGAGTGGACCAACAGCTGTCTGTGGAAGCCCACAAGCAGCACCCGAACACAAGAACCCTCTTGCTTCCAGCAACTGGTATTCAGAAGCATGACTGCCTCCAACCATAGAGAGCGTAGCCATTGTGGCTAGCAGCCATTGATAGCTTTGTCCGTCATCAATTCGTCCAGTTTTCTTTTAAAGCCATTCAACTTGGTGGCCATCACTACCTCCAACTTGAACCTGAGCTTGTGTATTACCTCCTCCCTCCCAACCATTTTCCTTCTGTGCTGTGTCTCTTTCAGATTCTAAGCCTGAAGGCAAGGACTGCCTCTTTTGTAGTGGTTTGTAAACCACTCAGAGAGCGGTTTTTTGCTGATGAGTCAGCCTTAAAAAAAACATCGAAACGCTTAAAATAAAAAGATTTAAAAACAACAACAACAACAACCATTTGCAGAGAAGCTAAGCCAAAGGAAGGCACAAGGAATTTTGAATGGCTGGTTGCACAACCAGTCCATTGCAGCATGATTGAGACATGGTCTCCCCTTGGGTCAGTTCTGCTTTCCTCCCACTCAGGAGCCCTTAATGACATCCAGTAAACCTGTATCTTAATAGAGCTGCCTCCCTTCCATTCCCCAGTTCTCTCCCAACTTCAGGATAATTCTTCAGCCACCTAGCCTTTCCGTCTTTTAAAATGAGCTTAAATATTCTGGAATAAGGGTACCTGGTAGCAGGAGAAGGAAGAGGTAGCAGGAGCAGCTGTATGGCCCCATCATTATTACTCCAGTCAGAATCCGCACTAGTAGCAGGACGTCCCGAAAGAAAACCGAGGCCGTTTGGACATTTGGACCCTCGCCTCAGCAGCTGAGTGGTGGCGTTTGCAGAAGCAGCAGAGCCTCAAAGGTTACACTGTCTTCTGCTGGCCTCTCTCGTACACCACCAATTTTTTTTTCCTTTCCCTCCTTCATCTCGGGAAAAAAGTTCCAATTGGCTGCTAAAAATAAATTAGACGTTCAGCCTTCCCTCTGTGCTCCTTCCTCCGTCATGTAGATGCAACTCGCTTAAAAAAAGAAAAAGAAAAAAGTGAGGGAAGGGAAAAGTTATTTATTTTAAAAGATACCAAAATCACAAAGTAGAAAACAACCCAAATTATATGCCAGAAAATGGAGAGAAAATTGCTCATATTTTGTGGGTGAACCATGGTGATAAAAAGCTGTAAGAGACCAAGAGTCACTGTCTGATATTCTTTGAATTTTAACCATCTCTGACCGTACACAGAGTGCAATTATTTTACTGCTGAATAAGCACAGCCGATTCTCCCACCTGAGACATTCCAGGAGCAGAAAGCGCCAACTTCCCTGGCAATGATCTTCAATGGCACTCTTCATTTTATAAACAAGCCTTTCCTGTTATTGTTTATTAATTATTAGTTTTATTAAAGTAGTTGACACACTTCTCTGACATTTCCTAGGCTTCAAGCCTGAGTCTAGCCCTGGAACTTGATGGCAATGCCAGCCCTGGTCTCAGCCCTGGAATGTGGGATGGAATAATTAAAATGAGTTACCGGTAGCCTCTGAACGTATGTAGAGTGCAATTTCTCCACAATCACAGCCATTCCCTAAACATTCATGAAAACAAGGATCAGGGTCTCTTGATAGACTTCAGTTTGCCACAATACAGTGGTACCTCGGGTTAAGTACTTAATTCGTTCCAGAGATCCGTTTTAACCTGAAACTGTTCTTAACCTGAAGCACCACCTTAGCTAACGGGGCCTCCTGCTGCCGCCGCACCGCCAGAGCATGATTTCTGTTCTCATGATGAAGCAAAGTTCTTAATCCGCAGTAATATTTCTGGTTAGCGGAGTCTGTAACCTGAAGCATATGTAACCTGAAGCGTATGTAAACCGAAGTACCACTGTACTTAAGACTCACAGACTGTGGAACTCATTCCCACAGCAACTTGGATGGCTTTAAAGCAGGATGGGACAAATTCATGGAGGAGAAGGTTATCAATGGCTACGAGCCATGGTGGTTATGCTCTGCCTCCAAAATCAGAGGCAGCAATGCTTCTGAATACCAGTCACTGGGTAGCATAAGAGCAGGGAGAGAACTCTTGTGCTCAGGTGCTGCTTGCAGGTTCCCCACAGGCATGTCAACCACTGTGAGAACAGGATGCTGGCCTAGATGGGCCATTGGCCTGATCCAGCAAGCTCTTCTTATGCTCGATGCAGTTGAGTCAGTAAAAGACAACATTTGTGTGTGTGTGTTTTGGTTTCCTTCCGCTTGTAAAGCTTTGCCGTTGCCCTGGAGCTGCAAATTCCTTTGTGGTAAGAAATTAAAAGGTTTGTGTGGAAAGCGAGTAGGAGCTTTGTGCAACCGAAACCCCGAATTAAGGACTCCTTGTCAGCACAATGGGGCATGGGAGCGGCCTCCCAAACCGAGCCACTCCTTGCCAAAGTGGTCCAATCTGAGCAGGAACTTCGAAACATTTGTTGAAGTGAAGCCATTTTCCTTCTCCTTTAACCCCTCGGCATTCAATGGAGCAGCAATCCAGGCTGGATCTAGGTTTTGAGCGGGCCGAGGACAAGATGCTCTCTCAGTACTGCCGGAGGACACCCCTTCCACCTTGACACTGCCACAACTGCCCATTCACTTGGCCTGCTTTGCCTCTGGGCCCAATCCACCAGAGGATAAGGAGTGAGCCGCTGGTGGGCCTCAAAAATACTCAACATGGAGGGTGGCTGGGCAAAATATTGTGAGATAATAGAAAGAGTTGGAGACAATTGGAAGTTGAAGAGTTTAGAAAAATTAAAAGACAAGGTGCGAGACTGGCTACATTATGCCCAAATACAAGAAACTTTTAAAAAGGACAAAAAAATTGGCTTCCAGGTGGAGAAATCGAAATTAGAGACAGAACTACTTGAACCTAAGACGAAAGTGCTTTCAAGAATGTATAACTTGTTGCTTAAATGGAACACACAGGATGAGACGGTTAAATCAGCCATGATAAAATGGGCACAAGACATTGGGCACAACATTATGTTTGAAGACTGGGAAAGGTTATGGACCACCGGTATGAAATTCACGGCATGTACTGCCCTGAAAGAAAACATTATGAAAATGATATACAGGTGGTACATGACCCCAGTCAAACTTGCAAAGATATATCATTTGTCTGATAATAAATGTTGGAAATGTAAGGAGGCTGAAGGAACATTCTTTCACCTCTGGTGGACATGCCCGAAGGTGAAGGCTTTTTGGGAAATGATTTATAATGAGTTGAAAAAGGTATTTAAGTATACCTTTCACAAGAAACCAGAAGCCTTCCTCCTGGGCATTGTGGGCCAGAGAGTGTCAAAGAAGGACAGAACTTTTTTTTATATGCAACCACTGCAGCAAGAATCCTTATAGCTAAACACTGGAAGGCACAGGAGTTACCCACGCTGGAAGAGTGGCATACGCAACTGATGGACTACATGGAATTGGCCGAAATGACTGGCAGAATCCGGGACCTGGGAGAAGAGGCAGTGGAAGAGGACTGGAAAAAATTTAAGGACTATCTACAAAAACATTATAAGTTATATGAATGTTGAGAATTTGCTAAGTTTTTGGAAAAACATGCTTCAGTATTGAGATTTGAAAATGGGGGAAATTAAGTTATGACCGTGAAAAGTTCAAATTTTAGAGCAATGTTCCTATTTTTGGGATTGAGGATAGAAAGAAGTTAGCTAATAATACGTACTCTAAATCGAAAATATAATTAGATGAAAGTACAAAAACGCATGAAACAAGGTATTAATTTGCTGTAATTTTATTTTTTTATTACAAAGAATGCAGGGTGCGGAGGATGTGGGGAAGTCCAGTGGATTATGAAAAAATGTTTGAAAATGTGAATTTTCTTTCTTCTATCTTTCTCTTTTTTATTCTGTAAAACCGCTTTTGCTGAGTTATTGATGACGTATCTGACCTTGGAAAAAAGCAATAAAAAATATATTTTTTTTTAAAAAAGGAGTGAGCCGCTGGTGGTTCCTTCCTCTGGCTCCTTTCATGGCTTGCTCCCCTGGAGAGGGCAAGTGAACAGGTGGCAGCAACAGCGATGGGCAGCAACAGGTCAAGGAGGCTCCGGGGATTAACTAGGAGGCCCCTGCCATGCCCATGGGCATGTTCCTGGCAGTGCCAACCTCATTGGCAATTGCACTTATTGACTACAGCAGGAGAACATGCAGCCCTTGGGCCAGTCTTGGCCAACTGGGGGTTCAGTTTGGCCCGCAAGACACCCCCCCAAAAGCACACCCATCAGCTCATATCACTGGTGAATCCTGAATATTTATATTCTGAAGACACAAAATGCCAAATTTTCCGTAGGTGCTTAAGGGCGCAGGCCAGATTTGCCTCGGAGCAAACTGAGACATTTAGTAGCTTTGCAGTGCATCCTGGATTTGAAAGAAGGTGCTGGGCAGCCATGACCTTCACACTCTTCCTGTCCTGCCAACTCCAGGGATAGACAGATGGGTGATGGGTCATTCATTCCTGGGGGTGCAGCTCCCCCTGGTGGACAAACACACCCACAGCCCCCTTAGCTGTGCCCTCTTTCCGAAATAAGTACAGTACAGTGGTACCTCGGGTTAAGTACTGTACTTAATTCGTTCCAGAGATCCGTTCTTAACCTGAAACTGTTCTTAACCTGAAGCACCACTGCGCCGCCGGAGCACGATTTCTGTTCTCATCCTGAAGCAAAGTTCTTAACCCGAGGTACTATTTCTGAGTTAGCGGAGTCTGTAACCTGAAGCGTATGTAACCTGGAGCGTATGTAACCCGAGGTACCACTGTATAGAAGTATAGAAGCAGAGTATATTTAATATGGGGGAGAAATGGGAATATTTCTGGCTCACAGTTAGGTGAGCTTTTCTGGACATCCGCCTGTCTTTCCTGTAATAGTCTTGGTTTATATCTTATTTTAAATTGTCTATACACACTGTATTCCCCCCCCTCCTTTTTATTTACATACTGTTAGCTGAAGAACACTACTCAGGGCAAGTGGATAGAACAATGCTTTTAGAATGTTTTTAACTGTAACTGCCTATAAAGATGGTTTAATTGCAATAATTTTTTAGATTTTTTTCTCTCCCTTTGTTCGTTTTTAAATTATGTAGAAGTTTGCCGTGCTGGGCAACTCCTGAAGGAAGAGCCTGATATAAATTCAATAAACAAAACATATTGGGGGGGGGGGATTTTTAACTTCTTTTGCTTAAAATTTTTGCTCAGAAAAAAATCCTAAATTTATAGTTTGACAGCAAAAAAGCAATGTGCTTTACAAATTTGCGAATTTTTTTTCTGAGCAAAAAAAATATGCAAACCCAGCCAGATGGGTGGGGTACAAATTATATTATTATTATTATTATTATTATTATTATTATTATTATTATGTGTACAGGGTGTATGTGTACAGTCATACCTTGTGTTGCGTTTGCTTCAGGTTGAGCGTTTTCAGGTTGCGTCCCACGGCGACCCGGAAGTACAGGTTTCGTCTCGCGCGCATGCGCAGACGTTCAAAATGACATTGTGCGCATGCGCAGCGAATTGCGGACCCCCCGCGCAAACGCGGATTGCGTTCTGCTCAGGTTGCGAACGGGGCTCCAGAGGTACCACTGTATCTTCTTCTTATGCAATCACTTGTGGCCAAGTCTTCCATGAACACGGTCTTAACAGTGTGTCTGTAAGTGACTGTGGAGGCCAATTGTGGATCCACACCATCCTTCCATACTGAGGACATAGGTTTCCAGGGCAGGAGTTGATCATGGTGAGGGTTTGCCAAGCATGCCTTCCTCTTGGAACATTTCTCCCTTTCATCCTGCGTTCAAGCATCTTCAAAGTCCATGACACCTTTGGTAAAGTCTGTTCTCCAATTGGAGCACTCACAGGCCAGTGTTCCCCAATTGTCGGTGTTTATACAGTACTACATTTTTCTAGATTTGCCTTGAGCGACTTTCGTTGTTCACCAGTATTTTGGTTTCCATTCTTTAGTTGGGAATAAAAGGTAAAGGTACCCCTGCCCGT